CAGCTGCGTCAGTTCCCAGATCTTGATAAGGCATAAAGAAATTGTAATTTGGTTTTATATACTGATACATTGTATTTGATTTTGGCCTAAAGTTGAGGTAAAATTATTTGATTAAAAATTTTGTGAATATTTATAATTTAAAATTAATTTGTAAATATTCTTAACAGATGGCGAGTATTGAGCGTATAACGGTGATTAATAGCAGGGTTTTGTTACTTATCAGTTATTATACGAAATTCTTTCTTCTGCGAGAAATGCCACGTTCAAATGCATTGCTTTTCATTAGTAGTGACAGAAAATTCCAGAACAAAATAAATCATTTCAGGCAACAGACTTTTAAACATTTTCATTTACATGTGAAAATATTCAATAAATCACGTCTGTTCCAACAAGCAACATTAGAACAGTTTCTGTGACCATCGCAATTAGCGAGTGACGTCATGAAGCATGCGTACTCAGTGACGTTTGGGAGGTATTCTGTGTAAGTGATGCGTATCGTCTGAACATGAGACGAAGCAGCAAGACCATGGCTTCAATGCTTTATTTTCTGGAAATTGTTGCCCTCATTGCCCCGAGGTAAGAGTTCATTTCTGTTTCACTTAAGATGTCTGGTGTCTTGAATAACAAGATATATAACATTTCAATAGCGAAATCTGTAATAAACAGGGTCTGTTGGGGGAGTGTTTCGTTTGAACCTAAACGTTTGTCTCTACAATATTTTTCACGACAGCTGGTGGACGCTTAGGTATTGATGAAAGTGGTTTTACTGTCACACGGTAGACATGGTAGTGGCGGTCTACAAGTCGAGAAATAGTCCCCGCTTTTACCTTCATCACGTTAAAGATACATCTGTATCTTTCATATTTTGATATTAAATATCATACGTTATTTGTAATTACTAGTATATTTGTTTAATGCAACTTCGACATCCAACACAAACTGCCATCATTTTGATTCTAAAGTAACGTATTTCTAGTAAGTTACACAAAAACTTGCTATTTCGCGTTTACAGATAAGACAAACCTTTTCGAGTTCAAAGTTACGTCTGTTGGTTTAAACTCTAAAACAGGGAGTTTTCAAAAATGCTTTGTTTTAAAATACTTACAGAAACACACAAAAAAAAATGGTGCCGGTGTTTATCGACAAACAATAATTTATTAAAATATTAACGAACATATTTTTTTAGATCACAAAACTTCACATTTTGTTTCAGTTCCTGCCGCTTTCCTCATCTTCCGGGCCAACTGGACAATACAACAAACATACTGAAGAACATACTAAATAACTATGATATTAGGTTGCGACCCGATTTCGGCGGTAAGTAAACTCGTTTTTCATTGGACAGCGTAACAAAGGATATATTATATTCGTAGGATTCGGTGGTAAGACTTTTATTGATTATAAACTCGGTTGTTAATCGTGCAAACTTTATTGTTAACGAGTCTGGAGCTATGTTTTCTATTACATACCTAGTCTGTCAGAGCCTTTAATGTTACTTGTACAATGTTCAGTGATAGCCAAGGTAAGGTACGAAAACTCACTGGTTATTAAAGTTAGCATGATGTTCGAGGTTAACAAGTGTATATGAACTAATTAATTAGTTAAAATAACCTGTAGTAAATACAAATAATCCTGATCAATTTTACAGTTGTTTTACAGACAAACTGTAGCCATAAACTACACGAAGTTAATATAATCCTGATCA